ATTTTGTATAAATAAAACGGTTTGGGTCTTTGAGTTTTTTTTTTTTTTTTTTTACCTCTTCTGTGTGCGGGTAAGGCGAGCGGCGATCAGTCAAGTTAGTAAAACAAAAAACACTTTAAGTGTTTTTACACTGGAATAAAATATTGTTCACAAGTCAGAAATCACGAGTCTAAGTCGAGTCTGAAGTCATTAAATATGCGACTCGAGTACGAGTCACAAATTCGAGTCCCCACCTCTGCTATTTTGCCCTCCTACCTCGCTTCCTGGTTATACTCTTACAGCAGTGTGTTGCAGTGAGCTTGATGGAGACATTTTTGATTTATGTCCAGTATTGAAGCGTGGTCTGCGCTAAACGCTGTGGGTCTAGATACGGCCGAGGCGGTGAGGAAGTGGGGGCGAGTTTAGTCCGACGACGGAGGGACATGATGGCCAAAAAGAGCAGAGATCCAGGTGGAAAAAGGGTCCCAGCGTTCTCGCGCACCTCGCTCTTCTAACAGGTCAAACTTCACGAGTTGTTTTCCGCAATTTCGGTCATAAAAACAAAACAAGCCGGCCTCCCGTCTGTGGCACTGTCTGCCGTCAGCTACAATTTGGGAGAGGTGCAGCGAAGCATCTGTGGAGGGGGTGGCGACGTCTGGAGCCGAGGTACTGCATTGCACTCATTGCACTGATTTTGTGCAGTATTTTCTGATGCAAAGCCTTGCAGAATCTATAGCGCAGGGGTAATATTATTTTTCTGTGAATGAGGTTTTAATGGGAATAGACGGAGTGCAACTTTTCTACTTCTGTTATTTTCTGTAGTTTAAAAAAAAAAAAAAAGCATAACGATATTATAGCTTTCATTGATTTTTTTCAAATTTGAAACATTGTCTAGCCTGTAAGATGTAAAAAAAAAAAATGTAAAAAAATGAACCAATTAATCGAATCGAAGTGTATTCTCGAGTATCGAAAATAATCGAATCGTTGGGTCAGGAAATCGATACTGAATCGAATCGCCATGATGGATGGGATTTACACCCCTACTATCAAGTGTATGAGAGGAAAAGAAAGGCCTCAGAAGAGGCAGATATATCCCAAAATGCTTTGTGTAGAGAGCTCTTGTGTATGTTCTTGCACGTGTTTAATAGGTGTTCTCTCTTGGGAGCGGGTACAGGGTTTTGAATATGCTTTTTTGGGGGGGGGGGAAATCCTCCACAATTCCTTTAAGTGAAAGAGTTGCTGTGATTTGAAAAAAAAAAAAAAACCCTCCATCATTCAATTAGAATCAAGAAAAGTAGAAGTAGTATAGTGTAGGAATACCGCTAAAAACATAAAATCAAAGACTTACCACTGGACTGGATCTTAAATTCAAAGTAGCTTTTGTTCTGATGCAGAGGAGCATTGGCGAGGCAGCTTCCAGTCCCACATATTCTCCGACCGCTCTTTACAATGACAACATCTGTGCCTGCAATGCAGAAATATCACCCATAATTTCAACCAATTCCTATTAACATTCTCTTTTCTTACCTAATCAAACCTGTAAAGGTGTTCAGACTCTAAACAGGTATTAGTGAACATTCTTGTGCTATCTGTAACCATGCTGCATCACTTTCAGTGAAACCCAAAACACCTCTTGATTGATCTCTCAATTTCAATGAAATCTCCTGTCGATGACAGTTGGGACCGCCCTACCAAAACAGCATAGGCAGCAAATTATGAAGCAACAAACTAAAATCTTGCAGACCTTTGAGCTATTGAACCATTGTGTACTCCTGATTTCATTTAACCAGAGATCATCTAAATGTTTCAGATAAATTTGAGGAGAAAATGCAGAAGTCTAGTCAATTTTATTTTACTCTTGAAAATTGATTTAAGCAAACTGTTTCCATGCTTAGTATGCTACTAATAACAAATAAAAACATTATAAAAGCATGCTTTGGGACCATTTTCCTGCTAAAGGTGCTTCCATGCCTAAAAAGGAATTCACCAGGCGAACTGTGGAGGTGAACTGAAAACACTGATGAAGCCATGGTCTGTTGTAGACCAAGGGGCAGATTTTAATTTCTCCTTTGCTGTAATCAATAAAACTAAACCTGGTGAAATATGAAGATAAAAACTAAGAAAATGTTAATGAGACACTATGATTCAGTGTGGGGCAGTGAATGAGCTCTATTCTCAGACTGAGACTGGATTTTTTTTTTTTTTATTATCTTCAATAGTTTGACAGATATCCTTTCTCTAATGACCTTGCTACTATGCCACTCAGAAGCTTGGTTAGAGTTAAACAAATGTCAACTGATCAGAGATGCTGTAAAGAAATCTAAATCAGAAAGTGTCTCAGTGTAAGTGGCAATCTGCTAAAATTGACAAAGGACTGGAAACTAAACGAGTCCAGAATCACTTTCTTAGAAAGTGCAACCATTGTTAGGGGTTCTGTCTAGGAAGATCTGTGGATTAAATGCATTAGGATCACTCAGAATGAGCTACAGAATCACAGGGGAGAGAAATGTGTTGGTAACCCCCTCTGGGCCTGTTATTCCCTTAGCCTGATGGATGGCTGGTATTGATCTCTCATTCTTTCTTCCCTCAAAACAAGAAAAGTACCGTCAAAATGAAATGTTTTGGATTTCTTTGAAAGTGAGCAAACTTTAAAAATCCTCACGGGATTACATAATTTTCTTAATTACTTAGCCTTTTTTTTTTATAATGATGACATAAATGCATATCTTTTTTTTTTAAAAAGAGTTTCTCCTAAAGAGAACTATGATCGAGATCTTGTAATTGTGTCCAGGTTAAATTACTTCAAGAATAAACATTGCCAGCTTTTAGCCTAAAACACAAAATAAACATTTAAAATAGCTAGTTTAACCATTACAGACTATTAAATAAATTATTTTCATTTAGAAATAAAAGCAGACGCACAGGGGGGGGAAAGTCGACATGCAGCTACAAGCTAACTAGCCAGGTATAATGGTGGAATATTTCCGTTACATTTTTTAGATAAAACATGGTTAACATTTTTCCAAATGCACTCTGTGCAGTTTATATAAACCTCCTCACCCATATGATGAGTATCGAGCTGAACAGTTGGCATCTCCTTGAGGGAAATATGCCCCGAGCCGCCCTCACCGCAGCACCCGAAACAACACGAAAGCATCGCAGCCATTCCTGATCCCTGCCTCCTGAGCTTCACCAAACATCCGGAAAACAGGCCGTCAAACCCAAAGAGTTTCTTTTGCGTCGGAAAATCCAAAGGGCTCGGTAGTGACACCTAGCGGTGGAGGGGCGGAACTTCAAGATCCGCTGCTCCCTTTACTGTATCCAATCACAGAGGCAACGATAGGCAGCTGCTCCTGATGGCATGGAAACAAGGGAAGAAAATCAAGGTCAACATTTCTCCACGTGACCCGGTGACTATTGGGTATCGATGTTACATAACCGCCGAGTAAAACTGAAAGTGGATTAGGTTTAATTTAAGCGTTCAATCTGTAATATGGCAGTTTATCACCTGGTGCTGAAACATCTTCCGGATCCCCTTAAATCTTTGCATCAATATACTGCTACGGATAACTTCCCTCCTAAAACTATTAGAAGTTAACAGATGATGCCAACCAGAGCCACTAAAGTAGTTCAGCCATGCTAAAACCTTCTTGACAGTTTTTCACGCTGTAATGTTTTGCATAGCAACAGCCCCTCCCCCACCCGACCGTTAGGGACCGTCTGTTAATTACCCGGCTGTGACAAAAACGTACACTTAATAAAACTTCTGATAGAAACTCACGTAATTCAATATAAAATAACAAAACGTGCATTAGAAATGCGTTAAATATTTGAAATTATTTTTGTTGGGCATATAAAGTAGAATAATCGGATTTTGACCGTTCCACCCAGCAATAAAGCAGTTAACTCCACACCCGGAAAGAGCAAAGTCTGCACAGCAACAAGCGCCATGATTGCGTTGCAAAGAGCGCCTCAGCAGCTGGTGAGTGATTCCTTTTGGTCCAGTAGTTGCATGTTACTATGCGCTTGCAAAAATCTGTCACAGCTTCTCCTTTCGGTACCTTGCCAACAGGAGCGAGGAGCGCGAACAGCCTCGCTCCTGTCGATAATCATCGGATTGGGAGAGGAGAACCGCTGTGATTTAAGAGCGCAGCTGTCAGCTAACCATAGTACTGCTGATGAGAAAGAATAGTTTATTACGAGACGTGACAGGGGGTATTTTACCAGTCCGTGAGCTGTTTTTCAATTAAAAGTTCCGAAGGATGTGGCGGAGTCTGTGCGTAAAGGCGCATCCAGCGCGCAGATATTTACGCGGGCAAACAGAGTTTCCCTTCCAGGACTGGGAAGCGTCAGAAACAGCTGGAACATGACTTAACATCTCCATAACCATCTTCCCATATCTGTATCCTTTTGCGATCGTGTTCGTGTTTTGAAATGCGCGTTTTTTTAAATTAGGACATCCCTCTGGATGTGGGTGCGTATGGTGATCAATCTGTTTTTTTGAGTGATTTTATTTTGTTTTCCAGCATGTTTATAACGGCGATGTGTTTGCAGGAGAGCGATGGAACAGCTGCAAGAGGAGCTCACATGCCCGGTCTGCTGTGGAGTCTTCGAGGACCCGCGGATGCTGCTGTGCTCGCACAGCTTCTGTAAGAAATGCTTGGAAGATCTCCTGGAAGCGAACCGAGGTCCGGCTTTCAGGACGCCTTTGAAATGTCCCACCTGTCGCAAAGAGACCCCTCATAATGGCTCAAACAGCCTGCAGATCAACTACTCTCTGCGCGGGATCGTCGACAAGTTCAGCAAAATTAAAGCAATGCCCAGAACGTCTGATTGCAAACAACACTGCGGGCAGCCGCTTAATATGTTCTGCTCCACCGATTTGAGGCTCATTTGCGGAATTTGCGCAACGACCGACGAGCACAAGGGGCACGACTTCAGCTCCTTGGAGGACGCGTATGAGCAAGAGAAGGGGGCGTTTGCAGAGCTGCGCCAAGAGGCGGAGAACTGGCACAGCGCAGACACACGCTCCTGCCTGGAGACGCTGCAAGGGAGCAAGAAAAAGACGCTCCAGTCGGTGAGCAGGGACGCGGGGATGGTGGCTGAATACTTCGATAAACTCACCGGATCCCTCGAGTGCAAAAAAAGCGAGATCCTTTCCGATTTCGAAACCCTAAAGCTGGTTGTGATGCAGGCGTACGACCCGGAGATCTCCAAACTGACCGCTGCGCTGGAGGAGCACAGCCGCGCTCTGGAGCTGGTGAAGTCCTTCAGGAGGATCACGGACCCGGTGAGCTTCCTGCAGCAGATGCAGGAGTTCCGTCAGAAGCTTAAGGTCGTGAAGGAAACCCCGCTGCCCTCTGGGAAAGACATGGACGTTGGGCCCCATGTGCGCAACTTTGACGTGAAGAAGTGGGATTCCCTCAGGCTGGGAGAAATAGACAAGATCTCAGTCCCCCATGAGTGTGGCTCCTACCAAACAGGTGGCGCTGGGAAAACACTGCCCAAATGGCTCGTTCTGATTCCGATTCTCTTCCTGTCAACACTAATCATCCTTTTCCTCTCCATGCAATACAGTGCATCCGATCTGAGTTCAAACATCCAAGCCTTGATCAACTATTACTCCCAAACTGTTCTATACATTCATGAAATCTGTAAAGATATGATAGACGAGGGCCTGGAACGTATGTTGCAGGTCAGGGATGCAGGTTTGCAACAAATTTAATGGTTCATTTCAACTCTGTAATGAAATCGATCAAAAAGTGCATCTGGTAAATAGAAACACTCGATTGTTTACATTGTTTACGTTTTATTTTCCCTATTATTCAACCAAAATGAAGCCTAAAAAACAAATTGAATCATAGCGTCATGATCAGAGAGCAATATAGACTTATATAACCTGTGATTTTTTTTTTCTTCTTCAATTTTTTACACTAACGATTATTTATTTTCTACTTGATTTAATGAAATAAATTTGGGAAATCACTGTTATGATTGTTTTCCTTCAGAGGCTGCTGTAATGATGGGAGAAACCCAGCGCTCCACAGTGATGCTGCAGCCTCTTCAAGGTTACAAACGTTATGTAACACAGTCCGTGTGAAATATTCAGCGGGCTGCAGAGGAAGGTATATGGAAACACTGCTCGCTCATGTTATTTATTATTATTTCAATAAAACAATATCTCTGCATTTGCAGTCAGATGTTTAAGCTCAGTTAATAATCAAACATTAGATCTGAGTTTCTGCAGATCAGAGAAAATCAACAGCGCGCATTTTTATTTTAACAAATGCACATCAAATTCTAATTTCTCCCAATAAACGTGTTCCATATGGAGTGAACGAAAGCGCATTTATCTTCCACACATTCAGGTTTGAGATCGTGCCATCACACGTGGAAAGTAGGTCAGATTAAATGAGCAAGAAGGATGTTAATAAAACCAAAAACCTATGTATGTTGATTACTCTGCTGTTGGCTACAGTAGAAGGGGATCCTTTTTTATATGAAAAAATAAAAATCGGATAATGAAAGTGATGTCAGCAAAGCCCATAATTCAGAATAGACGTCACACAGGTCTCTACATAAGTCCAAATGTATATATAGCTTCCTGTTGCCAGGCAAATAGGATGCATTCATATCTGAATTCCTAATTCACATTTATATAACCAGATGTTTTCTACATAAAGTTATAATTGCATATAAAACCTTAGCGCGCAGGGATTTTAAATTATTGTGGACCCAAAGAGGTTGAAAAATAAGCCTTGTAAGCTACCAAATATTTCATTTTTAAATTAATGATTCTAGCGCTTCTTTACGCAATAATCCTATTAGTAAAGATCAGAATTGAAACTAAATAACTCGTTGGCGGGTTACAATTTCTGTCAACGTAGATGTAAAGAAATTACGTTTTTTTTTTAAGTTAAAATGTTATCTTAATTGTACAGAATATAAAAAAAAATGGGATCCAGGAATGTAGAATTGCTTGGTTATGCAATGTAGGCCTTTTCCCATTTTTATTCAGATCTTTACTATATTCCAAACGATCAGAGCGTATGAAGATATCCTCCATATAGGTCTATTGAATATTATCTTAAATATAGGTAATTTAGTTTAAACCTATAGTTTTAAATACAAAGGCCACTTTTTGCAGATTCGCTTCATCGTGAAGCAGTTTTTTTTTTTTATATATACATTAAAAGATAATATAAGATATCTCTGCGTAAAAAAAGGAAACTTGTGATATTTTTCTTAAATAAGGTAGGATTATTTACAAGCTGATGTTTTTATTTCTTATAATCAAAGCGCAGGCCCGAAAAGGCCGGGATAAAAATAAAAGCGTTAAGGTGGACAAAATATCGGCCTCGCGCGCAACAGACTAATGAAGAAAAAGCAGGAAAACTCACAAGTAAAAAAGAAAATAACTAAATTAATAGTTTAATCAAACAAACGTGGTTTATTTTTATAATTATCAAAATTAGTTTAAATATCAGTGAAATAATACTGTTTAGTTTACTTTTATTGAAAAAAAAAAAAAAAAAAAGTCCTGTCCCCACGGTCTGCGACGCAGAAATCTATTTTAAATGCGTCATATTTAAGATTATCACCAATGTTGGTAAATGTCCGCTGTGCGTTCTCATCCAGCAGCTCTCAAAATGGAGTCTGGTAGCGGCAACAGAGTAGATTAGAAAAACACAGAATTTTATAGAACTGCAGACTGAAGTGTTCATTAAGGGAATCCCGTTGAATCACTTTTTAAAGCACGATTTTCCTTTCTTTTTTTCTAAAGGGGGCCGTTATGAATTACCCCAATTTTTTTAAAATATATGGAAGAAAATTAATTCAGTGGTTAAATCTAGTGTTTAAAATCGATTTGAGAAATTTGATCAAAGTGAATCTGCAGACTTTAACCATGAAAGGAGCTCAGCAGAGGCCATGCAGGCCCAAATGAGCGTTTCTCAATAATAAGCAACCATTAATCTGAGGAAATGTGGAAAAAAATGATAAAAAATGAGAATAAGAAGTTGTAATGTGTTTAGTGCTGCCCTTGTTTATATAAAAAAAAAAAAAAAAAAAAAAAAAAAAAAAAAAAAGGGGGGGGGTTGATAAAACAATATATTTTTAAAAAATGATCACAAATGATATCAGGTAGAGGTTTTATTTATTAAAAAAATATACAAAAAAATCAAATTACACTCGACATAATCCTTACTGTCTACTTGTTATCACCTAGAAGGTGTGTGGGAACATTCAGTTAGTGGCTTGTTGGACTGAGTGTGAGTGGTCAGCTTTGCTTCAGCAGCACGATCAATACTGGAGACTTCATTTAGTCTCAACTCCAATATTTACGTGCTGCTACAGTAAAGCAACCAGTATATCAGAATGACAAATACCCTGGAAACATTTCATCACTCTCATTAGGAAAACAATTATCTGGATAATATAAACTCAGGCAGCCGATGGTCGTCAAAGACATCTGGAGGGACTTGAAGCTGATCACTGCATGCTGAACTAGTCTGGCTTTATTGCGGCAGCGCAGTATGGCCTGCATCTCAGAGTAACCACAAACCATTCTGTGCTGCTACAACATTACCAGAGTTGGGCGTGATGCTCTCCTGCTCATCTTCTGCATTTTGCACTTGCCTTGTCCAAGCTTTAAATCCGCATTCATCTAAGAAGGTAGAGACGATCATCTTCCATGACGTCTCTCTACATCCTTAACAGGAAAGATGGATCTCCGTCTGAAATGGAGAAAAAGACAATTCAGTTTGTGATTTCATCAAAATGAAACATGCAAAAGACTGGCTGCTGCAGTTTGGTCACAAGGAATCAGCTTTGATGTTGGATGACAAGTCTTGGCTCTGTGTCCCCGAGCTGTTTGATGAGGATGGGAGCCAGTCTCCTCACGCAACAGAACTGATCCTTCTTGCTAAACTCCAAAAAATATTCTCCAATCAAGTTGCTTAATGCACAAGGACATCATCATGTTGAAACAAGAAGGGGCCTTTCCCAAACTGTTGCATCATTACTGGAGGCAATGCTGACAAAGATCATATTTATGTGATGTAGTATTAAGGATTCCCAAATGTTTCCACTGGCCACATGATGCAACATACTTATTTCATATAATGAGGTCAAGTGTTTTAAAGATAATTAACCAGCAACATAACGATGTTTCCCTGACATAATGGCATCAGCCATTCTGATCCTGACCAATAGCTTATTGCAATATAACACAATGAGGGAAATAAATATATATCAGTCTATTAGTTTGGAATCTAATAAGATGAAATGAAGGAATTACAGTATGTTCTCAATTTGTGCATCAATGCCTTTAACCTTTAATTTGTTTAAAAATACAAAACTTTACAGAGAACTTGCTACTTTTTCTCATATAAATGGATATAATGAATAAAAAGAGCTGATCAGAGAAAATATTGGCACTGGTGACAATTTTCTCTCCAAATATACTAAAAAAACAGGCAAATTAATCATGAGATTTATTTTTAGAAATGTTCTGTCTTTAGACGATAGACAACAATTTGTTAATAACTTCTCCAAACTACAGACAGAAACTCTTATAAACAAGTAATTTGCCTAAAAAGTTAATAAACTATGAGCAACCTAAAAGAAAAGTGTCAATGTTAATTAAGGATTAAATTACTTGCTTTAACACTAACCAAGAATATGTAATAAGCAACTACAGGGAATAAATAAATAATCAAAAGAAAAAAAAAGATGCCAAACCATGAAAAAGACAACATCCGAGTTAGCAGTTTGATTGTATTGAAAGCTTAAAGTTTTTCCAACACACCTCATCCTTCTACCTCCAACGGAGTAAGGATGTGGGGATTGTTTGCCACTAGAGGTCTCAATGAACCTGTGACTTGATCTGAAATGAATTTAACAGCCAGAATCTAATAAGATCACATCTCTCTTTATGTTTCACTGAACTGATGAAGATTTACTTGTTCACACAAACTCCAGAAAATGCTATGTGGCTGGAGCATAAATTACAAGCTGCTGTGCCGTGAATGTGGGTACTGCATTTAGCTTACACCTTTACTATCTGACAAAAAATAAAAACATACAATTTTATTGCCTAAATGGGAAATAGGGATTTCTTTTCAGGAAAAAAAAGACATTTACAGCCTGTATGTTCCTGTCCCAGATATCAAAATACAGAGTAGCTATGTTCATAAGTTAAATTTACTTTTGTCAACATCAGATTTCAAGAAATACCGTAAAGTTGATCTAATATTTGATTGCATATTAAAAAAAAATAAAACATCAATAAAAATAGCATTCATCATGAAGATCATCTGACATTAACACTGAAATTTCATTGTAAATTCTTTCCACTTTACATTTATAACCAGCTCACAAAAAGAGGTAAACTTTTTCACATAGTAACCCTTAAGAACAACCCTAAAACTTGAGGTTTTCAAAAGATCTCAGACTGACAATCCTGCCTGTGACACTTTTCTTACATTGAGGTGTAAATGCTTTGTCAAATGATTTAACATCAGAAATTTATTAGGAGACAGAATGTCAGACCAAACTGGTTCAACAGCTGTATTAACACCCTGCTTCTATAGACTAGTACTACAGACAATAGCACAGTGTTTGGAACACAACACAGTGCCTCATAGCCTATTATTGCTGATGTCTAAAGTGGAACATAAAATAACAAAAAGGCATCTTTTACTGATATTCTTGGTTGTAATGTTCCAATAAAACATTTCAACCAAGAATCAGGAAAAAAAAAAAAAAAAAAATCTGTATAAATGGGACATACAG